TCCACAAGGGGAGGGTCTCCAACAAGAAATCCTTCCCCAATAGCAGTCAGCCCCCAGCTGAGGTCTAAGAGAGCTGCAGCCAGGCTCTGCTCCTTCCAGTCCCACAGCTGAATTGCCTTCATCTGTGCTCCCAGGACTGACCAGGTCTTTTCCCCAGGTGCTCAATCAGTGGTTCAGGCTGGGACTCAACAGTTTGCATACACATGTGCTAGCGTTCTCTTGGACAGATGTAATTGGACAAACCACATTTCTCTTTCTTGTAGTGATGGGTAAAATTATTCATTTTTCTTTTCAGCTTCCTGAATCTGCTCCAACACAGCGCACCAGCTAGTTTCCACATCACCTCTGCAAAGTGCATCTTCTGACATTAGAAAAAAAGCAGCTGCGTTCAGTCCTAAAGTAGCCTGAGAATTAACTCAAGACTGTTGGATTTTCAACAAAAAACAACTGCCACAAATGGCATCACGGTTACCTGGGAGAGTGGAGGACTTCTTCGGCTGTTTTAGGAATCCAGTGTCCATAGCTGATTCCTTTGTGGGGATGAGACAAAGATGCAAAGTTTGTACAGCCCAGTTCTCAGGTGGAAGCCTGCTATAAATGCAGTGGGTGCTAAGTGAGATGTAAGATGAATTAGCAGTTTCCCTCTTCCTCTTGTCTTTTCAGAATAATACTGTTTGCAGTTGAACCAGCACAGTGGAAAATAATGTTATGATTTCTAAAGGTGCTTTGTGGAACAAAGGATATTGGATCAAATTTTCTCCCGAGCTTGCTCACTGCTCCTACAGTAATGAAGAGCAGAAGCTAGCTTGCTTTAAAATAATGAGAAGCTGTGACTTTGAGTAATAAGATCATAAATTTTGGTTTGCTATTTCCCATGCATGAGAAGGTTGTGATAGTAAGTATAATTTACTGTGACAAACCACTGGTGTTAATGCTTTCATCAAGAGAAACAAATGGTCTCCTTTTGAAATCTCCTGCCCACCTTGAGAGAGCAATAGGGTTATAAATAGAGAAAGAACAAATATTGACTCTATGAAATGTAAAGGTACCTGGAGTTCACCCATCAGTCTTCAGATTACACCTGCCTTTCAAGATTAATGTTTTTTTCTTCATAATCCACTTGGATGACTTGTTTGAGCTCAGTGCTCTTTCTAGGTTTTCAAAATGTTCCGTACCATTTCTGAAGAAGCTCAGAATTCTGGAATGAGGTAGATATTCCCAACCCAAGAGTTATCTTTCATTTCAGTTTGACATAAGTATTTACAAAACTGCCTGGGCTACTCCATGAGTTACTTGTTTGATGGCATTCCTGGTTAGGCTTTCTGTATAGCAGCTCCAGAAAATTATTCCTCCATGACTTGCACCGTGGGACCTCAGAGAAGCACACCCCCTTTGACATCTGAACCTGTACAGGACTCAAGAGGATACAAGAATTTACTACCTCAGGGAAAGGCCTCAGACACTGTTTGCTGAACTTAATCTCACTTTGTCACACACTTTGCTTCCCCTTTTGAAGTCGTTAATGTCTCATGCATTTAATCTCTGAAGCAATGTTGTAAAACTATCTTCTACGCAGTCTGTTGGAGTCTACTTTACATTATTTCAGCATGGGCTCCTACATTGGATTCAGTTCCTCTTAAAGTGTCTTACAGAACAAACGGACAAAGATGGATGTGTGTGGACACACGGGTGATGTGCCACAAAAGCCATACCTACTTTCAGAAGCACGCCAGGAGCCTGAGGCTCAGGTGAGCAGGTCTGAGCATTGCTCCAGCTGCCACACACAGAGAAAAGAACGCGTTGGTCTGCAGGGTTAAAGCACGTGTGGCTCCAACAGGATGTACGCTCAAAAACAGCCAAAGCCTGGGGGTGTTTTGACAGAATGAACTGAAGGTTTTCCAGTCCATTGCCTCCCCAAACTCAGTGCTAGAATGCTGTGTCTAAAGAATAGTTTTCTCTCACCTCTTTGCTTGCTCTACAATAAGGTAAAGAAAACGTATGCTTGAAGGCCATCTTAGTGAACAGCTGTATGTGACAGAAAGGTCTGGTACCTCGGGTCATTTTAGTCAGCGTTTAGGATTTAATAATCTTGAATACTAAATTTCAACAATTCGTATTAAGCTATGGCAACTCACCATGCCTCACCAAAGGCACGTCCAGAAGGACTAGAGCTGCTGCCAGACTGTTTGAATATTCTAATAAAATTCACCACACACAAACATCTCCAGATTAGCTTTTACATTTCCTTGCAGTCAGCAGTTGCACAGAACTGCTTTGATACTTGGGATAAGCAGGGCGGAGAGGAATCCAGGCATGGCCTTGTGTATACATTGACGTGGTTTTTCAGGAGGGCTTAAGGGACTTAGTGAATACGGCAGATGCACCTGGACTGTGTGACACTCATGGCCTCTCTGCCTGAAGGGTAAAGGGTCGAATTTAGTTAGGTCAAAAGCAGGCTCTTGCCCTTGGTCACTTCCATTAGGAAGATGTCACCATCCAAGCTCAGGAGCGGTGGAGCTACTCCACTCCATGGAGACTACCCTCACATTTTCAGTTAGCTTCCTTGAGCCTCCTTTTCTCCACTGGAAAAGCACCTCAGGACACTCCCGGAAAAAAAAGTGCCAGGTAGCAGTTAACACCTACACAGATATGCCATATCCTACAGATATGGGTACATCGAACACTTCAGGGGATTCATTAGCATTTCTTTCTCTCCATTTAACTTTTCTGTGGTATCTCAGTAAGCTGGGATCACTTGCAGACTCTGTTTGTACTTTTATGTCTGCACAAACCAGCAAAGTACAGAAGAGAGGAGAGATGCATTTATGTTGCACTGCTGCATAAATGACAAGGGAAGGAGATTCACTACTGAGACAGCAACTGTTAGAGAAAGGTTTTGGAAAGGAATTAACAAAAGCATTATTTCCACTTTTAAATCCAGTTGAAACTAAACTGTGCCAGGTCCTCAGGTCTGTACTGAACCAATGCCCATTTCCATTTCTGAAGGAAATGACCATATCTGCTTCCTATGTGCGCAGCAAGGACGAGGTGAGGAAGGCCTCCAGCAGTTATACTCACTGCTTTTGGAATCTGGCCCCTTGGGACACCGTGTTCTTAACCCTGAATGCACAACATATTGTATCTCCAGATCTGCTCAGCTTCCTGTAAATATTTCTGTATGTATGGAGACAAAATCATAATAATAGCAGGTGTTACTAACTTTTGCTGCCTTTCTTCCAAAAAGATACACGTTTCCTTGGGGAACATGAAGCGCAGATTCACTCCCTTCTTCACACTCTGACGCTTCACAGACAGCTGTGTAAGGGTTGCTGCAGCATCGCCTTGGGTGTTTAAAAGAAATCTTGGTTATTTAAAAATATTTAAAAATGTATCATTTCAGACTGCAACACAGCCTGATTCAGAAAGTGATACAGCTTCCATCCTGTGATGCAAAGACTGACACACATATCCATGCTGGGACTGAAGAGCATTGCCATGTTTTCAGAGCTCAGATCACCTCAATCCTTGTAACAACTTTTACATGTCTCTACACTGTCAAACAAACCAAGGGTGTTCTAGATCCAAAGTAACTGTAACAAATTCACTCTGAATCAACACCAGTACAGACTGTCAGGCATCTCTGCACCACGAATATGTACTCCTTCCCTATCTGGACAGAGCAGTGAATGGTCTGAGATCACAGATCACAGCACTTCGGACTTTCATGCCTACAAAAAGTTGAGATGAATCCCAGAGAATAAAAACGAATGGTTGAAAGTCACCAGGAAAGGGTGGAGCAAAATGCAAGGCAGATTTAGTGCCTACAAATCAGAATAGTGCCTAAAAATCTTTTTTTCACCTATTAGAAGTAAACCAACATTCAGTGAAACCTTCAGCAAGGGAGTTTGTTTCTAAATGGGCCCAAGAGGAACCAGTTATGTTGGTGACCTGAGAGACGCAGTGCTAAAAACATCAGGGGAGGAAGACAGGTCATTGAAATGCATGTGCCAAACGAAATCTGGTTTTGAAACATTGTAAGGACACTGAAATACTGGAAAGATTTAAAAGACAATAATATGAAGGATGACCTTAAATGGAAGACCTTGCCCACATATCATAGGTGACAAGGGACGAGGCTAAGCACTGCCTTCTACCGGTCTGGGCTTTCTCCCCAGTGGAACTCAGATTCCCAAATAGGCAACTGAAATGCATCTTGGTGGGAACAAAAAAGAGCTCCAGCTCTTCTATTAGCTCAACTATTCTGAGATCCCCTCGATCACCATTATGGTATTGGAATTACTCCTCACACCACAAGATAAAACTTTCTGCCTAGCAAGTACTTAGACATTGAGACCGTGGTAATAATCATAACAACATCATTTTGGGGGGAGCACGGTGGTAGTGAAGAGTGTTTTGTATTTTAAGGGCCGGAGTGCCCCCTTCTGTCGCATCCCGAGGTTAACAGGCGTTACACCAGCAGGCTGCGGAGCCCCGCAGTTGTGATCAGCACGGCTGCATGGAGCTGCGACTCGGAGCCCCAAGAGCTGATGGCCAGCGGGCGGTCCTTGCTTCGCTGTGAGGGTTCGGGCGGGGCAAACCGAGCTGCCGCAGGGAAAGCGGCGGTGAGAAGCTCCCCGGCAGCGTCATTGGTGTAATTAGCGGGTGAAGTCAGGCATATTTCGAAGGGAAGCCGCAGAGCTGAAGTAATGGGGTGTTACTGATAGCTCTGCACTCTGCGTTTGAGCTTTGCGTCTCCTGCAGCCACCAACTGAATCCAGGCTGTTCCGAACAACTGAGGAAATCTGACTGAAATATATTTAAAAGCAACTCAATAATGCCAATGTGTATAATCATGTCTGAGTTAATCACCGAGGGCTAACTAGGTTATGAACAGAACTCAAAAGGGGTCGGAAGTAGAACGGCGCACAGCCTCGCTTCGCGCTGGGCGTAGTTTTGGCCCTCCGCGCTTGCCGTAGCCACCCTGCATTCTGGCGCCAGTGGACCGGAAGTGGCCGTATTCGCTATGGCGGCCGCCTGTGGGAGAGTGCTGCTGCAGGGCGTCCGGCCCGTCCGTGAGCACCGCCCGCCTTTCTCCGCCCGGCCCCGGGGAGGGAACCCGGGCCCGTTCTGTGGGGAGGGCGGGGGTTTGGGCTGCAAGGCTGTGGGGAACGGTTCCTTTTGAGAACGGCGTTTTTCTGAGCGTTTTGTCTTTACAGGGTGGTTTTCTTCCTCGACTTGTCGAATGAGCAGCGACCGAGAGCCCACAAAATTCCAGCCGCCCCCGAAGCCCGTCATTATTGACAAGCAGAAGCAGAGAGAAGAGAGGAGGTAGGAAGGGTGGCTGGGGCTCTGAGGTGTTAGTGCACAAAAACTGCGTGTCGGAAGGGAGCGGACACAGCTCTGTGCCTTTGGCTGACATCTCGAGGTCGGCTGGGAGCTGAGCACAGGTTTTGCTGTTAGTCAATGTGAATTTTTCTCCAGCTAAGCATTTTTCGTGTCTCCTAAACGCATCTGCATTGCTTTAAGTGGCACGTTTGAAATGGTGCTGCTGCCTCTGGGAGGAGAGTGACAGTGTGATATTGTGCACATCGGGGGTATTGGTCAATGGCTGCATGTATCCAAAGGTGTGCCCAGCTGGCCAAGAATGCCAACAGCATCCTGGCCTGTATCAGAAATAGTGCAGTCAGAAGGGCTGGTGAGCTGATCTGCCCACTTTTCTCAGCACTGCTGTACATCCAGTACTGTGTTCAGTTTTGGGCCCCTCACTATGAGAAACACACTGGAGCCCTGGGTCATGTTCAGGGAAGGGCAACAAAGCGGTGAAGGATCCGGAGCACAATATCCTGGGAGTGGCTAAAGGAACAGGGATTGTTCAGGCTGGAGAGAAGAGGGTTCAGGAGAAACTTTGTGTCTTTCCACTGCTACTGAAAAGAGGTTGTGGCTGGGTGGGAGTCAGCCTCTAATCCCAGGTAGAAGCAAAAGGACAAGAAGCGATGGCCTTCAGTTGTGCCAGGGGAGGTTCAGGTTGAATAATAGAAAAAATGTATTTTCAGAACGCCCAGGTGGGTGGTGGAATCACTGTCCGTTGAGGTGTTTGAGAGCCGTAGAGATGTGGCTCTGATAGTTTAGTGGGCATGGTGGGGATGGGTCAACATTTGGACTTGATGATCTGATCCTTTCCAACTTTAATGATCCTGTGGTTCTATGATCTTGTGAAAAACAGCATAATCCTCAGGAATGGGGAAAGTATTAAAAACATTATAAAATCTTCCGTTCTGCCTTCAGATCTGTTAGTGTTCACGTCTTTAAGATGTGAAGAGTAAGCAGCTATGGCCCACCTAAGACATGCAGCCTGTAATGAGGTTACCAGGGACAGCAGGGATTTAAATGATGTTTTTCCGGAACTCCTGAGCTTACCTGGACTTGAGCAAGGCCTCTGACACGGTCCCTCACCACATCCTTATCTCCAAATTGGAGGGATGTGGATGAGATGGGTGACCACTCGCTAGATAAGAAACTGATTGAATGGCCGCAGACAGAGGGTGGTCCTCAATGGCTCCTGGGTGGTCCTCAATGTCCAGGTGGAGGCCGGTAACGAGCGGCGTCCCCAGGGCTCTGTCCTGGGAGCAGTACTCTGTAACATCTTCATCATGACAGCGATGGCGGAATCGAGGGCAGCCTCAGCCATTTGCTGACAACACCAAGCTGAGCGGTGCAGTCAGCACGGTGGAAGGAAGGGAGGCCATTCAGAGGGACCTCGAGAGGCTGGAAAGGTGGGCAGGGGGAACCTGATGAGGTTCAACACGGCAAAGTGCAGAGTTTGGCACTTGGGCCGGAGGAATCCCAGGTATCCATACAGACTGGAAGGAGCGGTGCTTGAGAGCAGCCCTGCGGAGAGGGACCTGGGGGTCCTGGTAGATGAAAAGATGAACATGAGCCAGCAGTGTGCTCTTGTGACTTGGAAGGCAAATGGGATCCTGGGCTCCATCAGCAGAGGGGTGGCCAGCAGGGACAGGGAGGTGATTGTCCCCCTCTGCTCTGCTCTTGTGAGGCCCCATCTGGAGTACTGTGTCCAAGTGCGGAGCCCCCAGTACAAGAAAGACAGGGAGCTGTTAGAGAGGGTCCAGAGGAGCCACAGAGATGATCAGGGGGCTGCAGCACCTCCACTACAAAGACAGGCTGAGGGAGCTGGGTTTGTTCAGCATGGAGGAGAGAAGCTGCGGGGTGACCTCAGTGCAGCCTGCAGTACCTAAAGGGAGCCTGCAGACAGGAGGGGAGTCAGCTCTTGGAAAGGGGAGATGGCAGCAGGACAAGGGGAAATTGTTTGGAGTTGAGGGAGGGCAGATGAAGGTTGGATGTCAGGGGAAGTTGTGTGCTGTGAGATTGGTGAGGTGCTGGAACAGCTGCCAGAGAGGCTGTGATGCCCCGTCCATCCCTGGAGGTGTTCAAGGCCAGGTTGGATGGGGCCCTGGGCAGCCTGGGCTGGTATTGAATGTGGAGGTTGGTGGCCCTGCATGTGGTGGGGAGTTGGAGCTTTGTGATCCTTGAGGTCCCTTCCAACCCTGGCCATTCTGTGATTCTGTGACTCCTGTAACTATGAGGATGAGGGGCAGGCCTGATAGGAGAGGCCTGATGTCATTTCTCATCTTAATGGCAGCCTGCAAGCAGCAGCACTGAGCAGAACCTCCATGTGCTGCCCTGTCTATCATCCTGTGCTTCCCATGTAGTCTATGTAAGGCTTTTCAGGCAGGTATGCATTCGTCTTTCCTGTGCTCTCTCCTGACCAGATGCTGGACTTCTAAGAGTTAAATATGAATTAAATTTGTCCATCTTCATTCTGGCTCTGAGGCCAAGTCTTCATGCTGTCTGAAGCACAGTGACCCCATGCAAACAATGTGTTGGTAGTGGCCCTCAGGCCAGGCCAACACTGTCAGGAAGCCTTCAACTTACTGCCAGGCAGTTGAACTCCAGAGCATGAGATTTCCTTGGCACGGTGTAATTCATCCGAGCAGAAAAGAGTTTTTAGAGTTCCTTTAAGCTTTGCCAACACAAGATAACCACTCGAGTGTGATGTTTCCTGTAGGCTCTCTTCAGCCGTTTGTAAGAAACAGTAATAACTTTTTTCCTATCTTTTACTATCAAGTGATGAAATAAGAAGTGGTATTTTTTTTTTTAATTGTGGATTACAGTTAAACTATGAAATAATCTGCTCCTAAACTGAGATAAAAGTAACAGGACTGTCATCTCTTGGTCTGTTCTTCCAAGAACAGCATTGTTTTGGGAAAAAAAAAATGTGTTTAAAAAAAAAATCAGTAATTTGCAGTTCCTGTCTCTGAGAAGACAGCTGGCACAGATGGTCAGCGTGTGGCAGTATTTAATTTTTAGGCAAATATTTGGATTTCTTTAATATTTTTAATGGAAATGTGGAAATGCTTTTGTTTTAAACTTTTTAAGTTTGGATTTTCTTACAGGTTTTTGAGCCCTGAATTTATACCTCCCAGAGGAAGAACAGATCCTCTGAAATTCTATATAGAAAGAAAGGATATGATACAGAGACGAAAAGTCTTCAACATCCCCGAGTTCTATGTTGGTCAGTAGCAGCACTGGAGCTGTCTTACTTCTTAACTGTTGTTCACTGGGTGAGATGGTTAAAAGCGTGCTCTGAAATTGAGTTATCACGGGACATCGCAGCATCTGCTGTGTTAGATCAGCCTGTGTGTCTGTGCTTACTAGTTCATATTTTAAACTCTCATTCAATTTCCAGTGAAAAGATAATATTTTGTGTTTCTTTCAGATAATTTGTGTGTGTTTTTTTTAACTGGCATTTCAGTGTGGCTAATGAATAAAACTCAAGGAATGGAAACTGATTATTTGTATTCAGTTTGTGTAAAAAACTGTACAGGTGAAGGCTTAAGGAGGGACAGAGCTTTACAGTTAAGTGCAGAATCACTTTTAGCCTGTTCTGAATGAATGTATGCTACAATTTATTCTGTTTCTGGCAGCTCAGTTGGATGATTAACCATTTTTGAAACGTGCCTAAATGTGCTCCATCTGACCCTTTTACCATGTGCTAGTGTTAGTTTGCTTGCACAGCCTGCTGTTTTTCCTTGGTTCTTTTTGCAGGCAGTGTACTTGCTGTTACTACTGCAGATCCGTATGCTGATGGCAAAACCAACCGGTTTGTGGGGATCTGCATTCAAAGAGGAGGAAGAGGGCTTGGTGCGACCTTTGTGCTTCGGAATGTGATCGAAGACCAAGGTGGGATTTCCACTGAGGCAGTAACCCATATATTTGAACACATGGCACTGCTTAGTCATTTTATGCCTGTATGCTGTGTTTCAGATCTGTACTCGCATGAGGCTGCACGTGTGTGGTGGCTGCACACTGATGGGCAGCTCAGATCCACCACACTGTTCTCTCACTCTCCCTACTCAAAAGACCAGGGGAAAAAAATATATGAGAAAAGGGTTCTAGGTTGAGATAAGGACGGGGAGATCATGTTCAGTTACCATTGTGGACAAAACAGACTTGGCGTAAGGGAGGTCAATGTAATTTATTGCCTAGTAATAACAAACTGAAGTAGTGGGGAAGTAAAAGCAAACTGAAAACACCTTTCCTCCTCTCCTACCTTCTCCCCTCAAGTGGCACAGAGAATGGAGGCTGCAGTCATTTCATAATGCTTTGTATCTTCACTCTCTTCCCCTGCTCCAGCATGGCATCCCTGCCACAGAATGCGGTTCTTCCTAAACTTACTGCTAGCCATGTAAGCACTAGCCCAGTTTGGGCACTGTGGATTTGTTGCACTTGTTGCACAGTTCAGGCCCACAGCATAACAAATGTGTCTGTGTACACACACACACACACACACACACACACACACATGCATACACGTTCTCAAGCTGTTGTGTTACCAACAACTGGGCTTACTTGCCTGTGCAAATGCAGGTGTAATGCATGTGAACAATCACCTGTACCCACAGCATTGCGTATGTAGTTCCCTGTACAGATGAAAAGCAGCTCTTAAATTATACAGTTATAGAACACTGAAGAAATACTAAATTGGTATTAGTATTTCCAACTTTGTGATCACTGAACCAGACTTCCTCTCTCGAAGGTGTTGAAATTTGTTATGAACTGTACAGTCCTCGGATCCAAGAAATCACAGTTCTGAAGCTGGAAAAAAGGCTGGATGACAACCTGATGTACCTGAGAGATGCCCTTCCTGAATATAGTACTTTTGATATGAATATGAAACCTGTGTCTCATTTAGACCATGAGGAAATCCCTGTAAACAAGGTAGGAGTTTAATATTTTAGTGGGAATTAAAATAGCAGGGGATAATTTAGTTAACTTTCTGACTGATACAGGGGTTGCATCAGGGTGCTGAGCCGTCCCCTGGGGCTGCTGCAGGGCTCCATTTCAGGGCCAGATAGAGGACTGCAGCAGGGAAGGCTCAGGGTGGAAAAGCTTCTGCAGCAGAGGTTGATCAGTCATGGAACAGGTTCCCCAGGCCCAAATATACCAGACTTCAAGGAGCCTTTGGACCCCACTCAGACACAGTGTGGCTGGTTTTATGTGGAGCCAGAGGTTGAACTCCTATGATCCTTTGCAAGTCTCTTCCAAGTGGCCATTTGATAACAGCCTGCAAGGCTCTTAACTTCTAGTTGTGTTAGTGATACAAGTATGTAACATCTGGTGCCTTATTGCTGCTCCTGTAGTGAAAACATTTATAACTGAGTACCTGCCTTCCTCAGAAAGCAACTTAGAAGAGACTGCAGGAAGTAACGGCCTGCAGGTTCCTCTGCATTACATGCAGACAGCACAGCCAAGACTGAGGAAACTTAATGCTATTGACTTGGGGGTGGAAGGAGCAAGATCTGCATCTCAGGAGCTCTGGCAGACTGGTAAAAGAATGCCATCCACCTTAGCTTACGGGAAAAGGACAAACAGCTGCTGCCATATTTTTTTTTCCTTAGTAACACAGTTAGAACCATAGAAGAGTTAGTTAATGGCATGCCGCTGTAAGGACCGTGTAATAAATCAGTTTTATTTAGGTTAATTAACAGACATAAAAGACAGAAAATCCCTTTTCTCCCACTGATGACCAATAGTCCCTTAGTTTACTGACAGATTGGTCTGTTTTTTCTATTAAAGCAGCACTTGTCTCACTACTTTTGGTTCACAGTCAGAATTCTGACCTTTTAATACGTTTCATTTTTTATTCATTTTATTTTTTTAATCTTTCCCCCCAGCTGCAGGTAAGAATGAAACCTAAACCATGGTCAAAACGGTGGGAAAGGCCAAAATACAACATAAAAGGAATCAAGTTTGAGCTACCTGAGAAAAAAATGAAAGAAGCACAGAAGTGGAAGAAGCCCTGGCTGGAGTTTGATATGCTGCGAGAGTATGATACCTCAAAGATAGAGGAAAAAATATGGAGGGAAGTGAGTGAAGAGCTGAGAAAGTAACAGCTTTGAGTTCGGTGTATCAATTGTCAGTTCTCAAGTTTTGTATGCAGGTAAAATACACAGTAAAATGTCAGCAGTTCCTTTCTGAATGTTCAACTATCCAAATAGTTGTTTCTTCTGTCTTTATGCCAAGTAGGAAGTGGCCAACTGTGAAAACGCTGAATGCAGTAGGTTCAGAGGGGGCTGTGGCAGGGAAGCAGACGTACAGCAGCTCAACTGTACAATCTGAGAGTAAGTGCTGCTTAGTAGCCCTGTAAAGACACTTTTGAAATCACATTTGATAAAGCACCAGTAATCATCTGACAACAAAGCAGCAATACAAACATTCTGAAACCAGTTTGAAAGAATGAAGCCAGATTAGCAGTTAGTCAGATGAGGTCGTGTGAGCGGGGGTAAGGTTCAGCGCCCCACGGCACAGTAGGTTCTCAAGATACTCAGCTGCGATGGGGGTCTGAGCTCCAGTAAAAATTGCCTTCCCCTGCTTACGAGTGATGACAAGTGATGTCTGCAGCCACTGGAAGAAGCACCTACAGGTGAAGTATGATAGAATCTATTCCAGTTTCATAGCAACACAGGATAATTTCTTCAGGAGCAACTTGCAACATGAATGAGGAAGCAGGAGAAGAGACAAAGCAAGCAGTGAGATCACATGCTCGAGCTAATTACTGAGCAGTTATATTTCCTTTGCACTCAGGAAAGTAGGAGGACACAATTTACCACAGCACTCCCAATTCCTGAAGATAATGAAGTGCCAGTGGTGCCAAAGTTTTTATCCATGCTTCACATGACATTACTGCCATATGTTCAAGACTTGAAAATGTTAGAAGTCTTATTAACACAAAAATATCTTTACTCTTCAAAATAATTGCTCTGCTTTTATTTTAAGTCATTTTTTGTCTGTAACACAGATCAATGCTATTTACAGTTAAAATAGTTTACAAAAATATATATTCTGTCATAAAAAATAGAAAAATCGTAGGGAATATAAAAGCCTCCAAGAGTTAAATGTTAGACCCATAACATTTCAGAGAAACAGGCACTGATGAACTTAGAATTTGTGATGCACTGCTGTTTCTACAATAAAGCATCCTTTTTATTCTGCAGCAGTAATATTTACTGCACATATACAAAGTTATACTACATTAGAAATCTGACATGGGTACAATGAAATGAGGTGTCTTACTGGGAAGCCAAAGTAAGACTTCCTTAGAAAGTCAGTTACTAGAAGGTAACTGGAGTTGTTCTTCTGCTTGTCTGATAAATCAGGGTGTGACAACTCCAGGTCCGTGCACCAAGTGCAGTCTGTATGTCAAGCACAAAGCTCCACTACAGACCACACTCTGGAGAAGAACAGACACAGATAGATGTTAAGATGTTCTCCTATGCAGCTTCTTACCTTCCTGAACACCCGTTTACCATCAGGATGTTCACAGATCAAACTCCTCCCTGCACACAGACCTCCTGCTTTTGTGCCAGAATCAAAAAGCTATGACAAGCTTGCTGAGTGAAACAGACCTCACTGTGAGTTTGGCAGAGTTCTCTCATTAAGTGGGGAAGGAGTTAAGAGCTCAGTGACTCCGAGTCAGAGTGATTTGGTATGGAGCTGAAAACAGCTTGTGAAGCTGTGTGCACAGTAGCAGCAGTAACGTTACAGGCACCTCTTTATTCCAGTCCTCCTTCCCCAAAGAAGGAAGCACTCAGGCCTTGTTGTTCATTGCAGAACTCCTGCGCTTCACACTGATGACTGCGATTCCATCTAGGAGCAGATGGTAGTAGAACACGTTTGGAAAAACAGCTGTGGGCAGGGTCCACTAATTAAACATTACCACTTTTTTAGAGAGCATCAGGTCGTTTCAGTAAAAGAACTGCTGTTTCAAAGAAATCCTTATTTTCTGATCACAGATCTCAGATGTTCCAGTTTGTACTCTTCAATGAACTCTTCAGCAATACACAGAGCCTTGACTTTCACCATCAGGAGAATAACTTCTTCAGTTTCATCACTATTAAAAAAAAGTTGATATAGCAGCACATTCACACCTGACTTCAAAATTAGTAAAGCTGAAGTCTATTTAAAAGAGAGGCAGAGAATTCTACCCAGCTGTCATCTGGTGCTTTTAGCTACACTGACCACTAACTGCACCCAACATCCAGAGCCTCAAACTAACCTGAACTAGTACTGTAAAAGCAGTCCATTTTACATCATGGATTGCATCTTTTGTATGTAGATGTTGGAAGTACATCACTGAAAGTGTTGAATTGGTGAGACTTGAGGAATTTAAGAATCGTAGAATAAGGTTGAAAAAGACCACAAAGATCATTTAGTCCAACTGTCAACCCATCAACACCATGCCCACTGAACCACGTCCCTAAAAGAAATATCAGCATGAAGTACATGAGGAAGTGCTGCATCCCAAAGAAAGTGTGATTTCGTACCTGTGGTTGTTCCTGTGGAGCACACGTGCACACTGAAGCAAATGCTGGCAGAAGTTCCGTAACTCAGGGAGAGTTGAGCCACTTCCAAGATTTTGGAACCACCTTTTTGGGAAGCACGCAGCCACCTGCTCTCCCAGACAGTGTGTTGGAAGGTTTAAAAAAAGAAAAGACTTCCAATAAGACTAAATCACACCACTTCTGACAGAGAATTCTCCTTTTGGCTAGTTCAGTTATTATTGGTTGTGTTTATTCTTCAAAAAACAGGATCATCATTATTAGCAGTTATTCCCAAAGCAAGCATTGGCTCGTAGGCTTTTAAAATGCTTTTATACACCAAGGTCATAAAAAAAATTAAATGTCAAATAATTATATTTCATCTTCAGACTACATCTGTCCCCATGGAAATAAGACTTACCTTTTTACACTTCTCTATGTTTTCTGGCCCTGGTGGCGTGTTGAAGAGGTTCAGAAGAAGGTAACGATTCAGCAGCTTGCTGAGTCCCAAATCTCGGAGCACGTCTTCCTCTACAATCCCATCCCAAAGCAGAACATTGGAGAGCAGCTGCAGAAATGAAGACACAGAACACGCATATTTGGAGGCGGGAGGTGTGTTAAACCTCTTTGTTGAACTTGAAGGATACCGCATCATCCAATTTCACTACTCAAAAAATAGGATTTATTCCCTCCAAGCTTACTGCCAATTAGCCACTAAAAAGCTACGTATCATAAATAGTATTTTGAAGTGGATTAATTTTACATGTGCTATGAGCTGTACCCTAATACATACACACATCACCTCCCCAGGAAATAAAGAGCATGTCACCCTTCCAATTTGCTAACACCCAAGAACAGAAAAGAATCATGCTGTATTTTTGCAGAGAAAAGCCAGTGGTCAAATCTGAAGGTGTACTCATGTACAAAGACACCAAGCCCAGCAAGAAGCAGCAACTGAGATCCAATTCTAAGTGAACCTTTGAGAGAATCTTGTGACAGAATGAAAAAAAAAACAAACAAACCACCCACTACTGCATCTGCTACATAAGATTACATGCCATCAGCCTCCTAACACAGATAAGGTTGGTAGCCTTGGTCCACAGCAGCAAAAAGATTCTTTTGCATTTGATGTCAGTATTATTAGTTAGCAAGAGTTGTCTTTAGTTACCCATATCACTGTCAAAATGACTTTAAAAAGATTTAAGCCCAGCGTAAGAACATCCCTGGTTTCCCCTCAATACAGAATTTCAAGGTAACTGTTAAGCTCGAGGTGTTTCACCCACACACACAGTACGTGATCTCAGGTCACCAGTCAAAAAGCAGTCACAAAGCCCATGGCTACTGCGTATTTCTCTGAGTGTTTGACAGGACACTTCCTTTTGACTCCACGAGCTGCTACGAAAGTTAGACTGTATGATGGCACAAACATCAAAGTCTCATCAGCTGTACTTTTGTATCAAAATAGCTCCCATCCCACCTCTTGCCCAGCCCCTTATTTGAGCTCTGCCATACCATTTCTGGGCTTGCCTTACAGGCCATTCCCAATAGAGTCTACAGATGATCACCTGCTTTGAAAGACAGCACAAATAGGGGCTGCACAACAGCAGTCTCAAACACAGATAAGTCACTCTAATAAGCTGCTGAACAGACCTAAAGAGTTTAATGCACGACCTGCAGAACTTCTTACACTGGATTAAATAATTCATGACTTCACTCCAGAAAAAAATAGTGGCAAACTGTCAACAGATACCTGAGGTACCTGATACAAGAACATTTAAATCTATTTTACACATCACTCCTAAAGAGAACATTGACAGCAAAGATGGAAAACAAACTAAAAGGAGAGAACTTCAATCCACAGTGAAAGACCACCGGTCTCTCTTTTACAAACATGCATTATTTGACAACGCGTTTAAATCAGGCAATACACAATCTGAGAAGATGAATCACAGAATCACAGAATCACAGAATCACCCGGGTTGGAAGGGACCCCAAGGATCATGTAGTTCCAACCCCCCTGCCTAGCAGGGCCACCAAACATACACATTCAGATCAGGTTGCCCAGGACCCCGTCCAACCTGGCCTTAAACACGTCCAAGGACGGGGCATCCACAACCTCCCTGGGCAGCCCGTTCCAGGGCCTAACCACTCTCCTAGTAAAGAACTTCCCCCTAACATCCAACCTAAATCTTCCCTCCTTCAACTTAAAACCATTTCCCCTAGTCCTGCTGTTATCAGCCCTTTTGAAGAGTTTACTCCCCTCCTGGGTGTAGGTTCCCTTCAGGTATTGATAGGCTGCCATGAGGTCACCCCGCAGCCTTCTCTTCTCCAGGCTGAACAAGCCCAACTCCCTCAGCCTGTCCTCATAGGGGAGGTGCTCCAGCCCCCTGATCATCTTAGTCGCCCTCCTCTGGACCCTTTCCAAAATCTCAATGTCTTTCTTGTACTGAGGGCTCCACACCTGGACACAGTATTCCAGATGGGGCCTCACAAGAGCCGAGTAGAGAGGGACAATCACCTCCCTGTCCCTGCTGGCCACCCCTCTCCTGATGGAGCCCAGGATCCCATTTGCCTTTCGAGCTGCCAGAGTGCACTGCTGGCTCATGTTCAGTCTCTCGTCCATCAGGACCCCCAGGTCCTTCTCTGCCGAGCTGCTCTCAAGGACCGCTCCT